ATCAAGTGAGCGGCGCGCTGTTTGGTGGTAAAACTGCCAAAACAAAAAGATTTCGGGAGAAACAGTTGTGGGGTTTTAGTGTGTGGCTTGGAAAGGCGGAGTTGGAAGCGCTCGTGCAGCAGAGCCTCATCTACCTATGTGTGTTTTCCCGTGGAGCCCCAAAATATGTTAGTGTGACTGCATTTTTGGGGGCTTGATCACTTGTTAGCTAAGAGAACCGCAAAAAGAAGGCGTTACTGTGTTGCGTGGAGCACAAGCGGTCGCTTTAGGGGTCGTGTAGTACCTTTTTTTTAGGGTGAAACCGTTTTACCGACTCGAGCCTCTTCCTTACAGAACGTAAATGAATATGTGGCCGCGTTAATTGCACTGAAGCAAAAAATGATTGATGGAGAGTAAGTACCGTTTTGTGGTTGTTTTGGTTTTGGTTGCTCTGAAGTTTTTAAAGCGATGCAGCAAATGCGTTTTGGGGGGTGGGGGTGTTTGCTAATGCACCAAACAAAATCCTTCTTGGAAGGAAAGATAACTTCTGCATGAACAGGTCCTGAATCGACGCTGCCAGGCTGCTTCTGCTGGTGCCCTAAAAAAACTGTGTGTAATGGCAGTAAAAGAGGGCTGTTGTGTAGCTGTCGGGGCTTATACATTGCTACAAGTACCAGCAGAAGCAGCTCTAGAAGAGATTTGTTTAATTTTAGCAGCTGTGATGAAGACTATGAGAGCTAAAAGTCAAGCACAAGTGTATGTGAACCTGTTCAACAGAACTTAGTCCAAGCATTGAGATGTGAAATGCTGCCATGGTGAAGTGCCAGAGTACAAAAAGTGAGGCTGAACATCAACAAGTCAGGTTCCAAAATGCTTCTCGTGGTTTGCTTTCTCTTCTTGTGCCTGCTAGGAGAATAGTGTGAAGATTAAAGCCTTTCAGGATGTTTTGGACTATTTTTATTACATTTATATGTTCTTTCCTAGGAAAACATCCTTTCCAGTTTGGGAACTAGGATATGATTTTGTGATTAGATGTGTATTTCTTCATTTTATATATATATATATATATACACATATAACAATAGAGTCATAGAATGGTTTGGATTGGAAGGGACCTCAAAGATCATCCTGTTGTAACCTCCCTGCCATGGAGGTCCTGCAGGGACACCCTCCACTACACCAGGTTGCCCAAAGCCTCATCCAGCCTGGCCTTGAACACTTCCAGGGATGGGGCAGCCACAGCTTCTCCCGGCA